CCCCCCTTTTTTTTTTTTTTTTTTTTTTTTTTTTTTTGTTTTTCCTCTTCTGGCTAATGTTTGGCTGGAGTTACCCAGACAGCACAGTCTTCATTCAGACTCTAAAGTGGCTGAAGGTAGTGTCATGGTTATGACTTCTTCCAAGATGTTCTAGGTTGTGCTGAGCCAAGGTTGATGTGGCTAAACCTCCTTGTGATCTTCTTGGGCCAAGGCTTCATCTTCTATTCCTGTGAGGTTGTTGAAATCCAAACCCTTCAGTAACTAAAGGAGGAAATACTGAAACTTCTTTTTGTACTTAGACTTCGTAATATTTTTAAATGAATTAACAATTGCATATGCTTCTGATATGTTCAAAAGTGTACATAAATTGAGAGTAGGTGAACAAATAATGTGGAGCTATGGGAGCACCTGGTCAGTGGGTTAGATGAGAGATTTGGTGACAATCTCAGGAGTCTGTGAACAGCGGCAGCCAAGGAGAGCCACCAGAGGCGCTGCTCAAGCCCAGAGCGGAACCAGCCACACACCCACATAATGGCGACAGCACTGCGAAGCCAGGACCAGCCAATGCCATCAAGCCTGGTCTATGCACCTGCACAAGCCATTTGCCCCTTCACCCCAGTGCCACAGAAGTCACAGTAAGCCACATCCCTCCTCCCAACACACTGATGCTCTCCAAGGGATAGATTAATGAGGAAACACTGTTTAATCAGAAGGAAATACTTCTTAAAAGAGCTTACCAGCTTCAACTTTCAAGCAAATTTAGATACTTGGTTAATTTTTTTTTTTCTTTTGGCCATTATCTAACAGAGAGGCTCAGAAGAAAGGCTATTTTAGGCAAATAAAGTACATTTGCTGCACACATCTCAATGTTAATTTGCACCTAGATTTAGAAACCATTGTCCTACTAGTATTCTTCTGGGCCCATGTTTTAAACACTCTTCCTGTGAAATGATGATGTTGGATATTTCCTTATAACCTTGGCAGATGTTAGAGCAAGACCAAAGGGGAACATTAACACTTAAGGATGGCAAAACAGAAGGCCATCCTTCTTGGTAGCATCACTGTGTCAGTGAACCAATACTGGAACCAGCTTCCATTAAGCTTCTTGGGACAGAAGACAAAATCAACCTCTTTTCCTTAAGCTACTTTTATTGAGTATTCTGTTACTTACTAGCAAAAATAGAACTCATAGAATACTTAGAAACTAAGGTGAGTGCAATTTTCCTTTCATGACACTCTTCTCAGTTTGTAAGTATTTGTTAAGAACATAACAGGGAGCCTAATATGTACTGAGAGTGAAGGATGGCCTCTCTCAAGTTTAGGGGATAGTTAAGCTAAGACATAAATATAAATAAGTGCCAGTCAGCGAAGAGTTGGGAAAATAGTGTTCCTCGCACTTTTAACATTCCTAAGAAGAAAAAGAAATGGAAAAGTTCAAGAAAGTAAAGGAACGCCCCTGTAATTCCAGAATAATGGGCAGCAGGAAGAGTGGCACAAGCTAAGGTTAGCCATGCAGACTGGGTCACGCAGAGCACCACAGGTCACGTTAAAGATCCCAAGAACAAAATGGAGCTATATCACTCGGAATAAATGATGTTGCAGTGTAATAACAAGCAACCCAGGATTCTAGGTGACCAACAAGAATGCATATCTCATTCATCCATGTGTCAGTCATAGTTTGACAGTGACCTTTGCTCCTGAAATATCATTGTCCTTGCACTAGGCCAATTCAGTCACTATCTAGAACATTGTTGGTGGCCACGTAAAGGGAACAAGAGCATGGAGAAGCATGCTACAACTCTTAAAACCTCTGCCTTGGGGCCAGCAAGTGGCATGGTAGTTAAGGCACTGGACTCCCAAATGACTGAACATGGTTCAAGTCCCGGACCTGGCAGAGATTGTTGTCTCAACTTTCCCCCTCATCTCTCTATGGACAAATTAAATATTAATTGTAATGTTGATGATCAATAAAATTAAATAGTTTTTTTAAAAGATAAACGTTCTGTTTATATGTGACATGTACAATTTCTGTGCACATTTCACTGGCCAGAGCAAGTGATGTGCCCTCCTGACTTCAAGTTCTTCTGCAGGGGATGATACTGTGTATTAGTGAACAACATGACTGTCTATCTCAGGAGTCATTTAAGGTTTTTGCAGCAGAAAGACATAATTTAATTCATGGTATAAAAGATCCCTCTAGCTGCTGTGTGGAGAATGGAAAAAAAGACAGAAGCTAGTGAGGCAAGATCAATTAGGGGAGTCTTGGAGGGATCAGCTTGAACTAGAATGGTGGCAGTGGAGAGGGAGAGAGGCAGACAGGTCATGATATATTTTAGAAGTAGAACTGAGGGACAGGCAGGTGACCTGGTGGTTAAGGGCACTGGACTCCCACATGGCCGACCGCGGTTTGAGTCCTGGACTAGGCGGTTTGTTTTCTCACTTTCCTTGTCTCTCTCTCTTTCTCTCTCTCTCACTCTGTCCTTCTCTGGTCAAATTAAAATAAATAAATTAAATTAAATAATTCTTTAAAATAAAAAAAAAGAAGTAGAACTAAAAGAACTTTGTGAAGGATTGAATGAAAGGAGAGAATGGTACCAAAAATACTTTCAGGTTTCTGGCATTGGATACCATATGGACAGAGCTGACAATTCATCTCCATGTAGATAGAGATTGATATTAAGAATAGGAATTCAATTTTAGACACATTAATTTTTTTCTTTATAGTTAGAACTTTAATTCTTTACCTATTATACACATTGCATATATTACTTTACAATTTTTAGCTGTGTTTTGAGTTTAGGTATGGAATTTTTAAAATTTATTATTATTATTATTTATACATTCTATCGCTACACATCATTTAGATTGTAAAGAGACTTTACCCAGCATGATACACATCTCAGTCCAGTTGAGAGTACAATACACCTCCTCATCAACAGATAATAAACCATATCTGTGTCCCATAAATATCTTACCTTTCCATTTTTTCCCCTAAATTATCTTTCCTGTGCTCTCCTTCTCCTATACTTTCCTTACACTTTGTCTCTAGTGTCCATAACAATTTTTAATGGTTTTATGTCCTCCAGTCTTTCAGTCTCCCCCATAGAGTGTGGACATTCAGTATATGATAAGTGGAGACATACAATATCTCTCTTTTATAGCCTGACTTGCTTCACTCCGCAACAAATCTTCCCTATTCATCCACTTTCTGTTAAATTCCAGGACCTTGTTGTTTTTTATGGCTGAATAATATTCCATGGAGTATATGTGCCACACTTTTTCCATCTATTCATCTGTTTGTGGACATCTGGGTTGGTTCCATGTTTTAGCAATCATGAATAGTGCTGCAATAAATATAGTTGTGCAAGTGCTTTTCTAACTGAGTGTCCTCCTGTCCTTTGGGTAGATACCTAGGAGTGGAATTGCTGGATCATATGGTAGTTCTATCTGTAGATCTTTGAGGAACCTCCATATCGTTCTCCACAGTGGTTGGACCAGTTTACATTCCCACCAAGAATGTAGGAGTGTTCCCCTTTCACCACAGCCCCATCAGCACTTACCATTTTTTTTTTTAATCTTTGCCATTCTGACTGGGGTTAGGTGGTATCTCAATGTGGTTTTGATCTGCATCTCCCCTACAATGAGGGATGTTGAACATTTTTTCGTATGCTTTTTGACTGTTCATATGTCTTCCTTAGAGAGTTGTTTATTCAGCTCATTTTCCCATTGTTTAACTGGGTTAATCATTTTCTTCTGGGTAAGATGCTTGAGTTTTCTGGTTATCAGTCCCTTATCTAAGGCATAGTAACAAAAATTCTCTTCCATTCCAAGGGTTGTTGATTCACACTAGTTACGGTGTCCTTTGCTGTGCAGTAACTTCTTAATCTGATGTAATCCCACCTGCCTATTGTGGGGATTATTGCCTGTGCTTTGGGGGTCTTATTAAAGAAGTCTTTGCCTACCCCAGTGTCTCCCAGAGTTTCCCCAGTGTTTTCTACCAGTAGTTTTATAGTTTGCGGTCTTAGGTTTACATCTTTGAACCACTTTGATTTGATTTTTGTTAATGGTGACACAATGGGGTTCTGATTCATCTTTGTGCAGGTGGATACCCAGTTTTTCCAGCACCATTTGCTAAAGAGGTTTTCCTTTTCCCACTGGGTTGACTGGTACCCTTTGTCAAAGATGAGCTGGCTATATATTTTGGGGTTTATTTCTGGGGTCTCTACTCTGTTTCATTGGTCTTCATGCCTGTTTTTGTGCCAATATCATGCTCAATGGGGTTCTGATTCATCTTTGTGCAGGTGGATACCCAGTTTTTCCAGCACCATTTGCTAAAGAGGTTTTCCTTTTCCCACTGGGTTGACTGGTACCCTTTGTCAAAGATGAGCTGGCTATATATTTTGGGGTTTATTTCTGGGGTCTCTACTCTGTTTCATTGGTCTTCATGCCTGTTTTTGTGCCAATATCATGCTGTTTTGATTATCACAGCTTTGAAATATACTTTCTAACACATTAAATTTTTTTTTCTTTTTTTTGGAGAGGTTTTCGCTATAGGAC